AAAATCAATGGAGGGCTTAGAAAATGGTATCTCTAAGCCTTTGAAAGCAGGGGCTTAGGTATATGTATATCAGCATATCAAGGAGGAAAGGAAAATACAAAAAGTAGAGTCCTTTCACGTTTAAGTTCCCAGTTATAATGAACTCAGTCATTCATAAAATATTTTTTTAATTGAGGTGAAATTCATATAACTCAAAATTAACCATTTTATAGTGAACAGTCCAATGGCATTTAGTACATTTATAATGTTGAGCAACTGCCAACTCTAGTTCCACAGCATCTGGAAGTATATCTTATGCTAGAATTTTACATGCAGAGATTACATTTTAATATATTAGAAACTTTTCTTAGACTTGTCATCCATTTGGACTTATCTCCCAGATTGTATCTGAGCACTCAGTTGGATTATTGTTTTTCACCTAACTAATGTGACATCTCCAGTGTTTAAGAATGGGCCAATTTAAATGTTTTCATACTTCACTAGGTGGGTGGGAAGACGTGATTGTGGATTTCTACAGACAGGTGAAATCTCATGTGTTTATGTTCATATGTATTAAACAATTCAATTAAAAGTTAAAAGTTATCTCAGACATATGCACTTCTNCACTTCACTAGGTGGGTGAGAAGACGTGATTGTGGATTTCTACAGACAGGTGAAATTTCATGTGTTTATGTTCATATGTATTGACAGGGTGTTTAAACAATTCAATTAAAAGTTAAAAGTTATCTCAGACATATGCACTTCTTTCACACAGGTTCACGCAGGCAGACTGATCAAGGGTATAACTAATAAACATGGACTAAATGCAAAATCAAATACAGTCTCTCAACTCCCCACCCAATTTCTCCTACAAACTGACAAAGTTGGTTTAACTAAGCAAAAATAAGCTTCTTGAGCACTGAGGTCAGAAGGATGTGGAAAACCTGATTTCTTTTTCTGTGGTAGGAGTGAATGTTCTATTGCCAGTGAACAGAGAAGGAGGCCTTCTTGCTCATAATTTCTGTGGCTGCCCTAGGGTCATCCATACACACTCCCCATGGCTACAGAGCTAAGAAATGGGCTGATTAGGAAACCGAGACAGGCCTGCATCTTGCTATCTCCACTCTTGCCCCTGGCCTCTTAGACTTGGTCCTGCATCTCTACCCCTGCTCTGAGCCACCTACCATGTGGGCTGGACTTTGCTACCTAGCTGGACTGACACTTTCTCTAAATCACCTCTCTCTGGCCTGGTAAATATAGGCATGTTTTGTGTGTTACCTTAGAACTGTAACCACACAGAATGTAGAAAAGTCTTCCTAAAAAATGTGGTAGCAAACTTCTCATTTGCTATTACTCTTTTCTCTGTTTCTCAAATAGAAGGATGAGACTGAAGCAGGATCCTGTCTCAGACGCTTGAAAAGTAACTGCTTCATGATTTATGAGCATTCCACCCAAAGGAAGAATCGATAGAGAGAAGGAAAAGGGGAGAACAATCCAATAAGTAACTTTAAGCCTGCAGCACATTATTACTTTCCTGGAGTTCTGTGGCACCACTTTATACATAGTAGGCGCTCAATATAGATTTGTTATTTGAATTAGATGAGGGTATTTTTTTCCTTCGGTAATCTCTAAGGGACATTTTGCTTTGCTCTATCGATCAAATAATTAGAGTATTTGGTGCCAGCTGCTCAACTCAAATAAATAATTATTTTTAAATAGCCTTCGATTTTGGTAGTGATTTGCCGTGTTCCCTGTCCTCCCCCTTCAGTGCTTGCTGACCATTACTCATGAGACCTCATGTGCATCGCCCAGCCAGAGCAATAGCTCTCAAATTCTAGATTAAGTTGTAACCTCATTTTAAAATCCGGATTCCTAGGCTCCCTAACCACAGTGTCCTTTAGGTCTAAGAAGGGATCTACTTACCTATATTTCAACAAGCCCCCTGGGCAAGCCAGGTGCAGGTAATCCATGGAGCATATTTTAGAAACTGATCCATAGACTTGACCTTGCCCTCAACTCTGAGACCAGCCTTACTTAGAGCAGAGAGAAGACGAAGCCCCAACAGTGTGTAAATCGCTGGTGCAGCGATGGCGTGATCCTGGCCTGGCAATTGCCACCAGCGACAGCGCTCCTGGCCCGGGCGTGATCTAGTCACCGGTCAGTTTTGCCTTCTTCCCCGCTTCATGCCCAAAATGCAGACCTGGATCTTGGTAGCTGAGTCCATGGTCTTCCTGGGCTCCACTGGCTGCTAGATGGAGGTGTCAGTCACTAATCCTCTCTTCAGTGCTCTGCCTGGCCACGAGGCCCTCCAGCCAGGGCCAGCCTACACCTCGTATGCCTTTTTGGATTCCCCCTGTGGCTGCTGCTTAGAAGTCTTCTTTTCCCTACTGTGTCCCTGTGGCTTTGCTGGATGGCTCATCCCAGCACTAATACCTCACTCCTCATGACAGCCAGCCCCAACTGAGGATGCTGACTACCCTTATCCAGAATTAGCCAAGGGTAGTAGGTAATCACTAGGCCGGCCACCCTAAAAAGATCATCTGCCCTGTATCCCTGGCAGAAGGAGAGGTCCTGCATGCTCGTTTACCAATTTAACACGAGAGATTCTAGAAGAAGGAGCTGTTAAAAGTGAGAAATGACTCAAAATAGCATTATTTTGGTCGCATACAACTTTTTGTCAAGAAGAGCCCGAGACAAATGCAGATTAAAAGAAAAATGTTTTTCATTGGCCTTCAGGCTGATGCACTGAGTTGGACTTTAGAACGCTCGGATCTCAGAAGAGCCCTCTATGAGCCCTCACTGCCCAGGCTGCAATAACGGAGACAGTGTGGGGGTCGGCCATTCAGCTCCCCTCGAAAGGATGTACGCAGCTGAAGAGAACAACTGTGCTCCCCTCCTGCCTGGTCACTGAGGACACCTGAGCTCCAAACAGTGGGCTCGGTTAGCCACAGTCACCTTCAGTGAACCAGTTAGATGAGATGGATCATGCCCCGTGGAGACAGAGAGGGCATGGCCCGGCCAGAGATGTGTCCCTGCTGAAACACTACGGGCTGTAGGGAGGGCGGCCAACAAGACTGGTCCCTTCTCAAATTGTTACTTTACCTGCGAATACAAGAAAAAGCTCCAAATAAGAATCGAACAAATTCTAATGATTTCTTCCTCTGTCCTGATTTCTTCATTTATTCAGCAATTGTTTTTTTAATATTTTCTGTGTGCTAGGAATGAACAGCTCTGGCTTCTGCTCTACAGGGGTTACTCTCTCGTAGTAGAGTTTAGGTCACAGATTTCCTCGGGACACAGGTCTGCCCTGGGTTTTAGTCTCGCTCCTGCCTGTAGGGGATGGAAGACACTGTATATGGCAGTGGTGGGCAGTGGAGATGGTCTGATGGGCACCCAGGAAGCCAAACCACAGTTCACATCCAGTAGCTTTCCTTGGATAAACAAGGCTTGACGTTCACGGCAGAGGTGCTAGTCAACAGGAGCAGGAAGGATGAAGATGCCCACAGATTAAACAGAAACCTTCCGCGGGCACTATAGAGGGGACAAACTTGCCCCAGCAGTGTGGATTCGTGTTAGAGCTCCTCTATGTTCCTTCCTTGTTCCTTCCTTGTTTCTACTACATATGTCATTGAAGATTAGTGCTGTTTCTATTAGCTCAAACCACCGGCTCAGGCACCTGCACAGTTTGGTAAAACACAGATTACTCAGCCCTTTCCCCAAAGTTTCTGACTTAGGTGTGGGGTGGGGCCTGAGTACAGATAGCATATCACTGGGTTTAAGGTTTTAATACCTGTTGTTTCCCTCATTACAAAATAACACATATGTATTGCTCCTAAAAAGATTTTTAATAAAAAAGCAACGCATTCATAACACAACCTAAGTAAATTTAAAGCCACCCACTTAGAGCCATTAACCGTGCTGTGCAGCCTTATCGAAGCTCGCTTATGTGTATCTGTTTGTGCATACACATACACGATATTCACACGTGAGAATATATGCATGCGAAACATTGGAATCATCTTATACATACTGTTTTATAACTTACCTTTTCACCTAAGAGCATATTTTTTAAAAAAAGAGTATATTATAAACAGCCTATGTTTATGTAGTTCTAGAACATAGGTTGGTACCTCCTTTGAATGAAGATACCATCGAATATTTCAGTGTCCCCCTTTGCTGGGCACTTAGGTTGTTATACCAGCTCTTTATTGTTAAAATAGGTTCAGCATATATATTCTGTTAAGTTTTTATGTACATCTGTAATTACTTTCTCAAGACAAATTCCCAGATGAAAAATTGCCAAGTCAAAAGTTATATATATGTTTTTTTCAGGCTTTTAATACATATTTCCAGGATACCCTTCAAAGAAGTATCAGGTCAGTTTACATACTCATCAGTGGTATGTGGGAGTTTTCTCACACCTTTACATAATACTGACCACATTTTCCTTTGCCAATTTAATAGGGAGAAAATGTTGTCTTGTTCATATTTTGAACTGTTTTTGTTACCAGTGGGGTTGATCGTAGCATCATGTTCAATGATTTCATACTTCTTTCACTTGTAGCCTGGTCAGCCTGGGGCTTAAAAGTCATACTACTAACGTTTAAAAGCATTTCTTTTGTTTGAGAGTTTACATGTTTGATATTTCAGGGTCCAGCATGTCATTTTTGTGTGTCATGAACAAACCAAAATAACCTCAAGAATAGAACAACTTTTGTATTATGTAAACTTTGGGGAAATAGATTTGCTACAAAATTTGGTTTTTGAATTTGTCTAATATGATATTCAATCTCATTTCTCAGTATGTGAAGAACTTATAATTACAATATAATTGATCAAATTTTACTTATAAAATAATCCTTGGGGAAAGAAAAGTATCCACTGTCATTAAAAGAGAAAACCGATGGCACAATGTATGTTGTAATCGATTTGTTAGTATTTATTGAGTGACCACATGATATGAATACTAAAGTGAACTTTCTTGGTGATACACTAAACTGAACTTTCTTGTTGATACACAGGGACTATTAGGGGAAAAATATGGGAACATCCGGATCCCCGGAGAAGTGGAGGCCTCAGAGTTTGAGATGATTTTGGACGCTGCCATAGAGGCAAAGCTGGACACCAAGTTACTGGAAGAGTGGTACTGTCGAGATGAGAACTCGGTGCCAGCAGCTTATTACCTCAGGCCCAAATCAGAAATGCTGAAAGGCAATAAAAATGCAGTAAGTTACCTTTCTCTGCAAAGTATGTATCTGTCTTTAAACTTTATGTCATCCTGGAGTGGTAGACTGCAAGTTATTCTGCAATGAGCCCTAAATTTCCTTTTAACAACAAAATCCAAACCTAAGAAATCTTCTAATTTTTTTTATGCTCTCCCAAGTATATGTTTATTGATTTTAGAGAGAGAAGAAGGGAGAGAAAGAGAGGGGGGAGGGGAGAGAGAGAGAGAGAGGGAGGGAGTCATCAGTGTGAGAGAAATCTCAATCAGTTGCCTCCAGTACATACCCCGAATGGAGATGGAACCCACAACCTAGGTATGTGCCCTGACTGGGAAACAAACCCGCAGTCTTTTGGTGTACAGGACAACATTCCGACCAACTGAGCCACCTGGCCAGGGTAGAAACCTTTCCATTTTTGACTCACCATTCTTTTTAGCACCTCAGACTTTCCTTCTGGAGGCATTTCCTTCCTGCAGTACATCTTTTGGAGGTTCCACCAATGAAGGTCTCCTAGAGATAAACTCTCTCAGTGTTTGTTTACCTAAAAATATTCTTATTTTTCCCATTTTGCTATATGTCTTTATTCTGATTAATATACAGCATGTTTCTCATGTTTGTAAATTCATGTATTCTATTAGTTGTGGAAAATTCTCAGCTATCATCTCATCAAATAATCTCTCCTCTATTTCCTCTGTTCTTTCAGTTTTGCTCTTTACTTAGATGTGCATTAGACCATTGCAGTCAATCTTCCAGGTCTCTTAATCTTCTTTCACATTATCACTTTCCTTATTTCTCTGGGCTTCTTTCCAGAAGATTATTTTAGATCTTTTTTCCAGTTCACCAATTTTTTCTTCAGCTGTGTTCACTCTGTCCATACATTGAATTTGCAAGTTGAACAGTTGTACTTTTTAATTTGTGAAAGGTTTTATTGGTTTGCTTGTTTGCTAGGATGGTATTTTTAAATCTACTTTTTATAGTTTCCTATATTTTAATTCAATATTTTTCCTTTAACGTTTCATACATAGTTACTTTATATTCTTAAATCTTATGTAGTATCTTGGAGTAGGGTTGGTTCATGGGTGAGCGTGATGGAAACATCGTTGTCCCCCCTCCAAGTAGTTTCTATATGTATCTACTGTTTGTCCCCTGAAACTGAATGAAGGAGGAAGAGAAAGGGGCTGGACCTAGTCACTGCACTGAGTATTTAGAGAGATTGAAAAGAAGGCATAGATTCCATCCCTTTTCCAAAGAGAACAGCCATGATACACTTAGCACTAGGCAGCTCTAAGAGGAGAGAGGCCTGGGTTAGCGACAGTTCTTCATTGAAGGGCCTTGTATATTTGTTGTTCTGATATTTAGCATAAGGATTTTTCCATGCAATACAAAATCATGTCAGAATCCTTGATTTTTCTTCTTCCCCCTCACATGCAGTTTTCAAAGTAATTATCTGAGAGCATATTGCCTCTACGGAGAGGAATATTGGGGTAAATCCAAACCATTCCCTGGTTAAACATGCCAAGAGTAAATGTAGTAGCTAGGAAATGTAGTTCCCAAAGCACATGATCCCACGAGAAACCAGGTCCACACAGTGGTTTGGAGCACTTTTTCACATGGTGCTGTTAGACTGGCTTTAGTTATTCCTCCTTCCTTTGATTCTGTGATCCTCTAGGGAAACTTAAATAATTCTCTAAACCCCACATGATATTTCTGTATAAACGTTGTTAAATAAGTGAATGTATGTTTTGTATGTGTGTGTAAAACTAACATTCCAGTTTTCAGCTGTGTTACTTTTGAATTGCATGACTGGGAAAATTTCTGATTCTCAGTGTTAATTTAATTTTCTACAAAAATGGTATTAAGTCATCTACTTAAGATGTTGGCCTGAAGCGATTACATAAGTTGTGTAATATGCCTGTTAAAATAGCTAGCATGTCATTCATCCAAATTTTAGGTTTATTACAGTTCATAATTATTGTCAATTGATTATAGATATAAGACATTTTTAAACACTTTGGAGGAGCAGGACGGGAAGGGAAATTTGTTAGTGGCTTTGAAACAATGAGGGGGAACACAGAGAATGCTGATGTGTACTGAGCAACCTATCTGGACCCAGGGAGGATCTGCATGGATTCACTAAAACTCACCTAAGACCAAAGAGAGAGAAAGTGTGGTTAGAGAAGCCATGAGGAAGCATCAAAGATGGGATTATTTTAGGGCGACCCATGCACATTGTAATAGGAGTGAGAGTTTATTCTTCCCAATTCTTGCTGCAAAATCAGATTTTATTGGCTCTGTCATGGATACACCATAAAATGCCTATAATTTTTACCCTTGCTTTCCATTTTGGGAAAATATTACAGGTTTTGTGAAAATTGCATTAAAATACACTCTTTGGACAAAAAAAAAAAATGTAATGAATGAATGTATGAATGTTACTTTCTTGGTAGGCAATCCAATGTTATTTTCTAGAGGATCATAAAAACAAATGAAGACGAAACAATGAAAGACAAATAATAACATATGGGCACCTGCCCTTTAACTTTCCCTCTTTAGAGAATATTAAAGAGATGATTTTGTTATGACATTTGCATCAAAAATCAAGAGGGAACTACATGGTAAAATAAGGAAGCCCAGCAAACAAATCCTGTTTGGAGTCATACTCTTGGCAAGTTTTCATATAACACAGAAATAATTTCTAACTTTTAGGGTTAGTGGGAGTATCGAGTGAGATATCGTCTGTTAATCTCCTATCATAAGTATTGACACATAGTAAACCTTCAAATAATAGTAGTTCTTTTGCTCTTAAATATCAGTTTTTCTTTGAAGATTTTGAGACTAATATCTCACTTTCACATTTACATAGATGCAGCCTTCTGCCCATGCTGAGAATGAGAAGACCTGGCAGGAGATATCATATGAGATTAAAAAGATATTCAAGGCTTCTGTAAAACTGCTACATGAAAAGGGGAAAATCAAACACGGCCAAGCTAAGAGGTACCTGTTCTCAGGTAATTTTTGTACATCCTCAGTACATTAGGGAATAGATAAATAATAGGTATATTCACTACTTCCCTTAGATGGTTCTGCAAATTTAATTTTATTTACAATCTGGCGAGATTTAAGTTTTCTAAATGTTTCCATCTCCTGGAGAAACAAGTGTTCTTTTGTTTTAACTCATAGATAACCCTTTACTTAACTTGAGGACTTCTCCAGAAAATGTAATTATATATATATTTTGGTTAATCTTCACCTGAGGATAATTTTTCCCATTGATTTTGAGAGAGAGTAGAAGGGGGGGCACAAATAGGCAAGTAATCAAATAAAAGAACAAGATCATTTTAGGAAGGATAAGTGGTATGTATAGAACAAAATAGTAATAGAATAATAGGAGCTGATGAAGGATGCATGGGTCCAGATTTAGAGGGAGTGGGCAATAAGGAAGTGACAGTTGAGCGAAATGACAGAAGGAATCAGAGCCAGCGGTGTAGCATTTATTTTGTAAATAAATGAAAATTTATTTCAATGAAAATTGCTGGAGAAGTACCCATTCTTTTTCCATAGTAAAGAATCATTGAAGAAAAAGCTACGGTGGCTTCATTTTCAGCTTGCTTTTGTGAATGGCAAAACATTGGCGGAAACCTAAACGGCCCTTTGTACTGTTCTCCCTGGATACATGGATTCCAGCTCAGAGAAATTATAAATAATTTTGACAAATTCATTCTCTGCAAGCTGTCAAAGATTAGGTCTTATTTTCAGTCTTCCTGAAAATACTGTTTTTAGAATGCACAGAGTAACCAACACCCTTGCTCCTTTGGGATCTTTTTGATCCATTTTTGAGGCTCTGGTTCTTCATCTTTATAAAAGGCAACATCACTGTTTTAAAAACATGCCATGTTAGTAAAAAAAATGCCCAGAGCAAAAGCTTTCTTATTCTCGGGGAAGGCATCCTCTCTTTAGAATCATACAGCTCAAGTGTTCAAATATTCCTTCACCAAACACTTTCTCCTAATTTTCTCCATACTAAAGAACTTTGTCCATATGGATATTTATGAAGATAAATAATTTCATACTATGTACTGTGAATACACCACTACAAGTGCTGTTTTCTGCTTGGGGTCATATCACTTAAAGACATACATGCTCAGAACAATTTTATTTATTTAACATTTCAAACTCATTTTAAGACCATATCTGCACAATGAAAATTGCTGGAGAAGTCCTCATTCTTTTACTCTTTTTTTTTTTTTCTTAATCCTTACCCAAGGATATTTTTTCATTTTTTCCATTGATTTTCAGAGAGAGTGGAAGGGACGGAGAGGGAAAAAGAAACAGAGAGAGAAACACTGATGTGAGAGAGACACATTAATTGGTTGCCTCCTGCACGGGGTCGAACCTGCAACCCAGGCATGTGCCCTTGACTGGGAATTGAACCTGTGACCCTTCAGTTTGCAGGCTGATGCTCTAACCACTGAGAAACACTGATGACAGCACCCACTCTTTGAAATGGGTACAATGTGTGGGTTAGGGGCATCAACCCCCCTGCCCAGTCAAAAATCCACGTATAACTTGTTGCCCCCAAAACTTAATTACTAATAGCCTGCTATTGACCGAAGCTTTACCAATAACATAAATAGTTGATTAACACATATTTTGTATGTTACATGTATTATATACTATATTCTTACAAAAAAGTAAGCTAGGAAAAAGAAAATGTTAATAAAGTCATAAGGATGAGAAAATACATTTATAGTACTATGCATATTTATTGGAAAAAATCCACATATAAGTGGATCTTTGCAGTTCAAATCCATGTTGTTCAAGGGTGAACTGGTATATTTTATATTTTCAGAAATCTTGAAAATATGAATACCAGGTAGAACCTGGAAAGGTGTGTACTATTTATATTTAAATGTAATTTTCCCACACGGCCACTTTCACCTTTTTATACAACAGGAGAGGAAGAGAAACGAAGCAGGCCTCAAAACGGTACCCTGCAGCGAACATCAAAGCTGCGGGGCTTTAGGGACAGAAGAGTGACTAGTGTATCGTGAACGACAGTTGCCAGGGCTGGGCATCTCCCCCTAATATTTCCTTTGTCAGGTGCTGTGACCGGTTCAGCTTCAGGCTATTAAGGAAAATGCAAACAGAGAAAACAAATTCTATGCAGAATTCTAGGAAGGAGGGGAGACTGACGAGGAGGCGGTGAACTAGATCTGTCACTTGGCCTCTTCCTGGCCCTGACGGGTCCCTGCTCTTCACTCTTAGACCCTGGAGTCTGAGAGGAAAGCCAGGGAATACCTTAAATAGAAACTCAACATGCTTTCTTTCTTATACCTACGTTCAACTTCTCCCTCCTGGGGAGGGAATTAAAGAATTTTATTTAAAACCCATTGTTCTGGGTTCCAGGCTGTCTAGGAAAACACAAGTAGGAAATTAAGGAATTAAGAAATTATTCTTGTGAATAACCTACCACCAGGACTGGAGAGTTAAGAGCTGGGAGGACAGTCCGATGCTTCTTTGTTTCGGGCAATAAGCTCCTTGTCTTGTCTGCTTTCAGCTATAGAGGATGAGTTCGACTTCGCTCTGGGAAAGCAAACTCCGGCGTTCCTGAAGAAGTGTGTCTGCTACATTAGGAAAATTGCTAACATAGAGCGTTTCGTGAAAATCCCAGAGATGGGAAAATACATGGACATAACTGGAACAGAACCAAGGATCATCCGGGACCCAGAAGCCCAAGAGAAGCTGATAAAACTCAGGGATGAATTTATTCCTACAATTGTTGCGTCATCTAATCTCAGAGTCTACACGTCGGTTACTCATTGTGACATGAAGCTAGGCTACTCCCAGGAAATAGAAAATCATTACATAGAAGGCCTTGGTAAACAATTTTATGAGGACATGATTGATATAATTCAGGCAACGGTACAACAGAATTTTGACACTGAAACTGATACACTCTACGACGAAATCCTCCAGCATTCGTCCTTATGTAAAACATATGCCTCTTTCTACGAGTACAAGTGCGAATCTCTAACCATAGTGCATAAATACATTCTTCCAAGCAAAACCGGGTACATCAACCCGCTTATCATATATGGTGGACCATGCACTGGGAAGACACTTCTGCTAGCTGAAGTAGCAAAGAAGGTAAAAGCCTATTCTCTTATGTGTATATTTATAAAAACTTTTACTTTAGGGAAAAGATAAATTGATCAAATTCATTTCCATTTTCTGTGTTTACTACCTGAGTTATATATAATTAGTCTTTGGATGAACTCTTCAGCGTTTCCCTTTTGCTGGTATAACACGTGCATTGAAAGAGGAAGACTCATGGGGTACAATTACAGGATAGCTTGATGTTCCCTCCCACTGTTCAAAGTCACATTGTGGGGCTGGCTTTCACTCAAATGGAAACTAGTGCGGTCTCACAGCTCTTTTCATGTCTCAGCAAAGACAAGCCCTCCAGTTGCTTCTGGACATGAAATCAGTCTCAGTTCAGCAATTAATATTTCCAGTCTAAGATGATAATTAAAATTTCAGTCTAATTTCAGATAATTAAAACCACTTCTCTCCCCCAGCTGTGGTTTTCCATAAGCAAGGTATCTACAGTGGTAGACAGGAACAGAACCATTTCATTTCTTTCTCCACACAGCCTTTTTCCCGTCCATCCGCAATCCCCAATCCCCAATCCCAAATCCCAACCACATGTATGACCCCTATAGGGTTTCGGTGTAGGGGATGTAGGAAAGGTAAGGTGGCCAGAAAGTTCTTGCATTGCCATTACAGCTGTGAACTGGACTCTGCACCCTCTGGTCTTGGCAGGTGTTGAGAGCTGCTTCCTGCCTCTTCTGAAGCCTTCTCATGGTTTCCTGAAGGTCCTTCCCTCCCACATCCCTTGTCCTGGCTAAGCATCTCTCAGCTTCAGTTCCCTAGACACACAGGAATCTTTTTCTAGCTTGTCACTTCCTTGGATCCTAGATATTCAGCAGTGCACTTCTAGTATCTTTCTACCAAGATCTTCTCCATAGTCCAGCAGACTCCCTAAGACAGGACCTGGGAAAAACAGAACCAACAAAAATCATTTAAACTCACTGTTTCCAGTGACTCACATCTGGTACATGGTACATAGGCATTTCTTTTCCCTGAGAAATTCCAGCTCCAATACAGCAACTCTTCGTCACTCCTCTATCGCAGCAGCCAGCCAACTCAGTCACTCCATCTCCTTATTTCTCAGATGTCATCAGACACAGATGACCATGTCCCCCAAGCTCTAGGGGACACCCTGTAAGTGTTCCATCTCCCTAGGCCAGATGTGAGGAGTTGGGCTTCTCTCAGCCTTCCCCTTTGGGAGCAGGGTAGTGATAGATACAATCCACAGTGCCCTAATCTCCAGCTTTTTTCTTGGCCTCTCAAATCTCTTTCTTAGGCTGGAGGTAGGTAGTCCACTGAAGGTAGCAAAACTGGTTCTCACAACTCCTTTCAAGTCCTGCATGAAGGTCTGGAACCTCACCCTGGAATGTGGTATCTATTGTCTTGGCACCTCAGTCTAAACTGGACTGAACTAGTTCCATTTTTAATCTTCTCTTACACTTGATACCAAAGTCTGATGGTTTCTATTATCCTGGTGTTACTTCAGAGCCTATGTGTTGTTCTTCCTCTGGTTACTCTCTTAAGACCAGAGCTTTCTTTAACTTCATGAACATTATCATAATCTATCATGTGCTACACAGTCTCAAGTTGGTCATCTTAATGACAAGAATAGGGACAGCTGTGTTGTACCTTAGGTTCCAAAGTAAGCTCACAGGTGAAAATCAGGTATATCAAATTTACTCTCAAAAAGTCCTTAGGAAGACCAATTTACCATTTCTTACCATGCCAAACCTAGCTGCTGGTATTTCTTCTTGTGTTCGTCAGTACAGCTTGAACACCAGATGCAATGGCTGGCTTACCTTTAGGGGCCACGTTGCATTAAAAGGAATGTTTATGTAATGTGTGTGCATGCATGTGCATATGTCTTTGAACATTAATTTGCATGTGAATCTTCAAACTTTAGAATTATTCCAAGTAAGCAAGATAGTAACATTATGAGGGGGCACATGAGAACTGAAATCAAATGGGAAAACATTCACAGATGCCACTTCACACTCACTCTAGGGCTTTTTTCCTTGTGAAGGGGAAAGGTGGTTGGAGGGGCAAATCTTGTCGCATTTGGCTAAGTTAAATGTGCATGTGATGCAAATCCATGTGCTCTAGCATAGGAGGTAGACAATCACGTTGGTTGTGCTGACAGGCCTGTGTACATAAGCAGTCCAAGTGGGGCAGTGCACTGACCATCGCGGTGATCAACTTGAAAATGGCTTTCTGAGCTCTCACTGTTCGGGATGTTTTGTCCAACTACCAGAGTGCCTCTATTCAGAGTCCAGGACTCTCGTCCCCCAAGGAGCCTCACCTGTTCCTAGGTCCCCTGCCTGTGCTTCTCTTGCCTCTCTCCTGGGGAACATCTGCTCCCACCTACCCACCACCACCACCACCAATGACCTGTGCTCTCTTGTGACTTTGTGTCCCTGCGAGGATGCAGACAGACATCTGTTAATCTCATGGTTCTCTCCTGTGTACCCAACATTTCCATGGATGTGAGCTTATGATTGGAGGGACACTCTACAGATAACACACACTCAGTAACCTGTGATTGGGAAGAAGGAAGACGATGCATATAAGCATCATAAGCAACCCGTAGGGACCATGAATTGTGTTGTTTGTGGTTTGCCACCAAAGGCACCTGTAGGACGGCAGGGTTATCTTCCTCCAAACCATGTCAAAGGTTGGGGCTGAACAATGCTCATTTCCCCTACTAGCTCGTTCTGAAACACAGCCTTATATCTTCTCTAAACTTATTCATTCTTTAACCTGAACTATCTCTTGAGGAACCAAGTTTCCTAAACTTACTTCCTAATGTATTAAATAATACGCTCTTTTCTAAGGAGTATCCTTGGTAAATTCCAATTACTGAAAGACATTATCTCCCTAAAAATACACTTTGGAGTGTTTTATACTTTGATCATGTCCCTTCTTATTCTTGCTTTTCCAGACAGAAAAATATTAAACTTAGCAACCCCCTCATATGTTTTATCTCCTTAACTCTATAAAAGAGAGAGAGAGAGAACTAGAATGAAAGTCAAATTAACTTCTCCAGCTTCGTCTGTCGGTAACCATTTCACTCTGTGTGAGTCATTTATCCAGCCTGGACCTCAGTTTCCATTTCTGTTAAATGATACGTAATCCCCATACTCCCTACAGAGAGAGAATGTGAGAATGATAACTTCCTGTTTATATAGTAAACTGTTACAAAGCACAAATTTAGGAAAACTCTGTTAACCACCATTATATAGATTTTTATGACAATGACAAAGGATAATCATAATGATGACCCTACATCACTACTATATAGGAAAATGTCTCTGAATCATAAAAGATTATATTCAGTATCATTTTAGTACTAAGTATTTTTATTGTATTTTAATCAACTAGAAATTTGTTCAGCCCTATATGGTATGATGTGATCCAATTAATGAAAATATGACTCTTACAACGCATAAATTGTTATTTAATCTATTCAGTAAACAAGTACTTACTAAGCACCTACTATGTGCCAACAACTGTGCCAGGAAATGGAATTCAGTATTAAAGAACCATACCAGATGTTCAGATTCACTGTTTATGAACTACTTCATAACTTTTAGAGTACAAGTAAATGTTGCATTATGGTTGAATATTACTCCTATCACTAGTTCATTACCTTTAGTCGAGTGATCCTGAGGGTCTCACCTTTAGATTTTAATGCATTAGCTTTGTGGCAGCTCTTTGACCTTCTCAGAAGGTGTTTTTTTTCCTGGTTCTAGACCACTTCTGCATGGCCAGGCTTACCAGAAGTGTCTGACCTCTGCAGAGAGGAGATGTTGTAGTGTGTGACCATGTGAATATATATCACCATTCTAAATGCCGCCTTTATGTTGTAGGCTTATGGCTGGCTACATGAACACACAGGACCAGAATCGGACCCAGTCATAGTCGTGCGATTTCTAGGAAGCACAGACATGAGTACTGACCTCAGGACTCTCCTCCTAAGTGTTTGTGAACAGTTGGCAGTTAACTACCGGTGCCTGGTTCAAAGCTACCCCAAGAAGATTCATGACCTCCGTGACTTATTTATAAACCTTTTGAATGAGTCTTCATTGCAGAGACCTCTAGTAATCATATTTGATGCCCTGGAGCAGCTCTCAGAGACTGACGAGGCCAGGAAGCTTTGGTGGCTCCCTGCTCACCTTCCCCGCTTCGTCCGGATAGTCCTCTCCACACTGCCCAACAAGCATGGGATCCTGCAGAAACTAAGGTGCCTTATCCACGAAGAACACAATTACATCGAGTTGATTCCCCGGGACAGGAAGATGTGCAGCCAGGTCCTCAAACACCAGCTGCTGCGCGTCAAAAGGAAGGTCACGTCGGGCCAGCAGATTTACGTGAACAGCGCTCTCTCCAAGTGCACGCTGCCCATGTTCGTGAACCTGACCTTCAAGGAGGTGAGACACTGGCGATCTCACAAAGATGTCGATGAATCCTCCCTCTCTGTCACCGTTCACGAGAGTATAGAGCAGCTGTTCTGGTCCTTGGAGAAGAAATGTGGTCAGAAACTGGTCTCCAGGGCTCTCGGTTACATCACCATGGCCAAAACGGGTTTGAGTGAAATGGAACTGGAGGATGTGTTGGCCCTGGACAACAGCGTTATGAACGAGCTCACTGAGAACACCAGGCCCAGCAATCCCCTGAGAGTACCTTATCTGTACATCGCGAGGCTCAAGGAGGGTCTCAGTGGGTACTTAATAGAGAGACACGTGAAGAACGCCACGCTCCTGGTCTGGGCCAATAGACACCTGCAGCTCATAGCCCAGAAGCTGTACCTGAAGGATGACAGTGACCTGCATGAGATGCACACCATCCTGGCAGATTATTTCCTGGGGGTCTGGTCAGGAGGCAGGAGGAAAGCTTTCTGCCTCGAAGACCCCTACTTGAATGGCTGCCTTGACTTGGAAAGCAGAAGCCTGCTTGACGAAGAAAAGCACTTCATGGAGCAGGCTTCTTTTGACAGACAGGCCCCAGACCAGCCCTGGGTTTTCCAGTGCAATCCGCTGGAGCCTGACATTTTTTTTGTCAATCATCGGAAAATGTGTGAGCTCTTGTACCACCTGACCAGGTGTGGGAAAACCGATGACCTGCTCTACGGCATCATCATGAACTTCAGCTGGCTTTACACCATGATCAAAATTGGCCAGTTCGACAAAGTGCTTTCAGACATCGAGCTGGCTTACAACTGCTCTCAAGAGAAGGAGCTGAAGTTCCTGGCCAGCACCCTGCGCAGCATCAAAAACAAGGTCATCGCGTTTCCCGGGTCCCTTTCAGCAGAGCTCCAACAAAGGCTGCTGCCTGTCGTGAGTTCCCTGCCCAAGCTGAGGCACCTTCTTCTAGAGTGTGACAAAGACGGGCCCAAATATTGCTCCATTGTGCCACTACATTCATCCATGGACGTGACATATAGCCCTGAGCGTCTTCCCTTGTCATCTAGTCACCTGCATGTCACCGAGATTCTGCCTACCTGTAACCCCAGTACCGTCCTCACAGCTTTAGAAAACGGTTCTATCAGCACATGGGATGTGGAAACTCGCCAGCTACTCAGGCAGATCACAACAGCCCAGTCTGTCATCCTGGGCATGAAACTCACCAGTGATGAAAAGTATCTTGTGGTGGCTACGACCAATAACACCCTGTTGATTTATGACAATATAAATTCTTGTCTCCTGTCTGAAGTGGAAATCAAAGGGACCAAGCATGGAAGTGGCTCCACCTACATCAATGGATTTACGCTGTCCGTCAGCCATGCCCTGGCATGGCTCGAAGCCAGCAAAGATGTCACTGTCATCGATATGCTCTATGGATGGCCCCTTTACCAGTTCCACTGCTGGTACGAAGTGACGTGTGTCCAGTGCTCTCTGGACGGGATATATGCTTTCTGTGGACAGTACCTGAACACCACCACCATCTTTCACTTAGGGAGTGGAGAAAAGTTATGTACAGTGTCATCTGAGTTTTCAGGTGGGTTTGTGAAGTTTCTCCTTATCTTGGACACGGCTCAAGAAATGGTCATGGTGGACAGTGAGGGAAGCCTTTCTGTGTGGAATACCGAGGACATTTCCAACCCCCAGCTGACCGATGACTTTGACTGCCGGAGAGAGGACAGCGAGGTGCTCAGCATTGAACTGTCCGAGGACCAGAGTGCGGTTCTGGTCTGCAAAGCCCTCAGCATTGAGCTCTTAGACACCGGCCTGTGGAAGGTGGCTGAGAAGTTCAGAGCGAAGCACAACGAACGCTTTATATCTGCCGTGCTCTCCAAAAACGGAGACTGCATCATCGCGACCATGGAAGATACCTCCGCCGTGTTCTTCTGGAGGCGGGACACGGGACAGTGTATGGCGAGCTTACAGGAAATCTCAGGTACCATCGTCAAGCTGGTGAAATCCAGGCACCACAATATGCTGTTCTCCCTATCAACCAGCGGTGTCCTGTCTGTTTGGGACGTAGACATAATCACAGCTATGTCCAACATTGATAAGACGGGAAAACCCATCCAGAGTCTGGTGTTACCTGCCAGAGGGGAGATCATCTATTCCCTCGACGGCTCCGATTGTGTTCATAAGTGGAACTTCAGCAGCGGGTTCATCGAGGCCGTATTTAAACACGAAGGGATAGTTGAACACTGCGTGCTGACGTCCTCGGGGGACATCATGGTGACCTCGGATGACAAGAGCAGCCAGTACGTCTGGCGCACGAGCAGTGGGGAGAACCTCTTCCGCATCAATGGGCAGAGAATATCCCAGCTGCTGATTACCCACAACGACCAGTTTGTGGTGTCTCTGTGCGAGGAGAACGCCTCCAGGGTGTGGAGGCTGGCCACGGGCCACAGGGTCTGCAACATCCTGACCACACTGCAGAACGCCTTCATCACCTCCGCCAACACCTTCGTGGTGGGCATGACCAAGAGCAAGGTGCTGGCCGTCAGCCTGTGGACCGGAAGCATCACCAAGAAGTTTTGCTGTGAGGACGGCACCACCATCGTGAATTTCAAGCTGATCCCCGACTGTCCCGACATCATCGTGTTTATCACGTCGGCCGAGACGGTGAACATCTGGAGCCTGACGGACGAAGTGATCTGTCGCCGTGTGCAGCTTCCAAGCAACTTTCTGAAGAACCTGGAGGATTTTGAAATTTCTCCCAACGGGAAGCTAGGCATTATCGCCCGGGGAGATGAGAACATCAACGTGCTGGATTTACACAGCGGGAAGCTGCGGGTGGTCCACGCCTCCGGGGTCATCTGGCGGCAGAGGCTGTCTCGAGATGGCCGCTACCTGGTGTACATCTGTTTCCGCAGCGGGGAAGATGAGGGGGAGAACGGCGCCGTGTCCAGTTTAATCGTCATGAGACTCGCCGACGGCAAAAACATCGGCGCTTGTTCCCTTTACAAAACACCGACTTTTCTCGCCCTCTCCCAGAGGCACCTGAACATCGTCGTGGGTTTCGACGACGGCAGCATCGGGATATACACGGTGGTGGACCGTGTGGACGCCGCCCTGAAGATCAAAATCGCTACTTCGAACAGCAGGCAGATATTCAACAGCGCGACGCAGGCGTCCCGGGCCAAGTGCAGCAGCTACTGTTTCAAAGTGTCTGTGGATTGCTTGTGGAGGGAGTCCACCGAGGTCTTTGCAAGAGACAGTCCCATCACAGTGAGCGACCCCGCCGAGCCCAACGAGGCCACGCCTTCCAAGAAACACAATTCTTGCTATGACCGGGTGTGCTCTGCCCTGGAGCCCCGGGGCCACAGCTACGGCCCTGACAACTGACAAAATCGTTTATCCTGCTCACCGGAAACACATGATACGCATACACAGGAGCGGCGGGGAGTGTCTTCTATATCCCAAGCGATAAACAACTCATTTCTTAAAAGACAGGAAAGATGCCGGTTACAGTGTTAATTATTCACATGCTCATGAAATGTACAGAAATGTGACACTGGTTTTGGGTTTGGTCTTTCTGTCCAAGTTTACCCAGGAGTGAAGTCTTGAGGCTTTTCTAGAGAATTTGTAGAAATCGTATTTAAGTGGCTACATCAACTGGGGGATGGGAGGTGGCTTTAAAACTGTTGGGGAGAGAAGCAGCGTGACTCAAAGCGTTGGTTCAGATGAGAGAGGCTAGAGACCACTGGGACTGGAACCGGTCTTAGAGAAACCTGTTGAGATCATGAACACGCAGAGCTGTTTGCGTTCAAGTGATTGTGTGGCCATTAGTAAACACAGCCTTAATCCCTCCTTACATTTTACAATCCTGACAACTGTATGAACCCAGTCTGCAGAAGGAAGGCCTATCTGTGCAGAATCATGTAACAAAAATGCCCAGACGGACTCCCAGCTTCCCAAGAGAAAGGAGGTGAAACGTGAGGCCACAAACGGGACCGGGGCAAGAACTGACCACTGTCATAGGGCTACTGAACACACAGCTGGTCTTCATGAAAATACAGTTGAGACAATTGCATGCCAGGGTTTCTGCATAAGGGAACATACGATTTTTAAAGCTATTTCCTGGGCTTCAAAAGAACACATTTAATAAGGAACCACCGTCTTCTCATGTCCTTTTGCAAAGCCCCTTTGTGCCGGGCGGCGCCGCGAAGAATTTCAGGAAGGGCATTACAGATCTGGTCTGAACACCTGTTCCTTTCTATCATCGCTCTGTGCTGTTCGGTCAGTTTTACGGAAGCATAAATGATTTCCTAAATCCCTGCAGTGAATCTTAATAGAAGGAACGCTCTCTTGACACGCCATCTATGAAACACCGATGACATCTGCCTTACTCTCATTTCTTCTCTTTCTGTGGAAAATGCAGATAGGTGACCAAATACTCTGGGACAAACTGAAGACGCCTGTCTTTGTGCTAAGATATTCCATAAACCTTAGGGGTGTCCAAGGGTTCTTTACTGTCCCTGTTTGGAATCCCTTTCTTACTCCCACACACTGTACGTAGGCTTCTTTATCTGTGACCCTTCCTGCTCGAGGACTCTGCGGAGACTTTTCTAGTCTTCTCCAGTTCAGAGCAAAAGCTGTGAAATGATGTAGTCAACCTTTTTTAAAAACGACTTCACCTATTTAAAAGAAAATATCACACCCCGAAAGGGGAGCGTGATTTTCTTCACGTGGCATGTCTGTGGATGACTTTCCAAAGGGTGTCGGCAGTGGTGGTTTGCTTTGGTTTTATCGGACGGGGGCAGTTGTGACTTGAGTAGCAGAATAGTGAAGCGGGAACTGACTCGCTCTTGGTCCAGCTCTGCCGTGAACTCATCACATACCCGTAGGCAGATCTTTCACCTCCCTGCGGTATTTTTTTTTGTAAAGTGCAAAATAAAGATTGTGGAGGCATCTGCTGTAGCCCTCACAGGGCTGTTGGGGAGTGATGAAAGAAAAAAATACAGTGACACCTTAATTATTGAAGCTAATGGGAGAAAAAGTGATCGAACCTATACGGTCTCCAAGTCAGTTGTATTTCACTTTGGAAAGAGATGTAATTCAGATAGGAACACCCCACTCCATGGTGAAAGGATTTTTTTCAGTAGTCCCTCCTGGTCTGGCTCCCAGCCAGGGAGGTAGCAGCCCAGAGAAGGCCCAGCCCTCGTGCAGATCACCTGGAATTCGTTGTATGAGTCGATGCTTTTTTTTAGCACTTCAGAGGCAACACATCTTATACTTCTCATTATCAGTGGGGCCTCCAGGCCACACATTTCTAAGAATTCAATGCCTAGATGGAGTAAATGTAGTGTGTGAATGTTCTATGTAACAGCCAATAGAGTTTAACAAGTGACTTGAATGATTTTTCCTAACTTGTTTGCAAACTGATAGCTCATACTGAATGTTTTTATGTAAACTTTGTATTGTTGGGAAGAATTACCCAATCAGAGATTTATATTTTCATAAATGTTACATTTAGTTAAATTTTGTTACAGAGTTGTTACACTAGAAAATTATTGCAGTCTTCAAACAATATACAGTCTTGTGTATGTATTGTTTGTATGAATAAAAGATAAACTATGTAGATTTGTGTGGTGGTTGTTTTTCTCCCAACTTAGGCAGATGTAGTTAGAGATTGTTAGTAATAATAACAATAATAATTGTCCGTGCTTACTGTACACCAGACACTATTTTTGGAGCTACGCATGTACAAAGCCATGTAATCTTCACAACAGCTTTATGAGTTGGGTACTGGTAGTATTCCAAATTTAGAGATGAAGAAACCTAGAAACACAGGTCAAGGGAGAATGGCTGAACAAGACTTCAAGGTACAATCAATGTCTTTTTTGTCAACTTTCTCAAAGCCTAAAAATACAGCATTGAGAACCCAGTAGGCACTTTCTGATAATGACTGGATCCCCTGTAGGGGGCGTGCAGGAGGCAGCCCATTGATGTTCCCCTCTCTCCCTCTCCCTTTCTCTCTAAAAATCAATTAAAAATCTTAAAAAAAAAAAAAAAAAAAAGACTGTGATACAAAGTTGTTAATGAAAGTGAAAACCAAGTGCAGAAGATATACCACAGACGAGCAATTAACTCTGGGAATCAAAAAGAATGCCCAAGAGATGGTGACAGATAACTGAAGCTTGAACAATAAGTGGGACTTAGCTGTCAGAATGTCAGAAAGAGTTTCAGGTGAAGGGAGCTGTATGAGCAAAAAGAGTCAAAGTATATTTTGGATGAGTTCAAATGCTACGTGGGGATTTTACACTTTATTCAATAGTCAGCGGGGAATCATGGAAAATTTTTTGAGAGTGGCCTGAGTGGAATGGTGTTTTAGAATGACGCAGGCAGGACTGTCAGATGGAGTAGAGAGAGACGAGACCGGTAAAGAGACTGTTGCAATGATCTGAGATATCAAGTATAAGAATTTGATCTTAGGACAGTGGCAGTGAGAATGCTAACAGGAGGGAAAAATTCAAATGTGACTTCAGGGCTTAACTGACAAAGGTGGATGATGGAGAAGGAAAACAAACTCCAGTTTCAGTTGAGACTGGATCGATATCAGAGTTGCAAATGTGAAGTGAATGGTTTAGGAGGTGGAAGGTGGGGAAATAATAAAGTTGGACCCAGCGAGTTCAAAAGTTAAGACATCCATGCACGCAATTGGAAATCACTAGTCATCCAAGGGAGACCTCTGAGCTAAAGAATCCAACCAGTTAGCTCTTTCTGAAAAGTCGAAAATGCCTCGTAGGGTGCTTTTTTGGTTATAATGTAAGCCAATACCATACACTTAAATTTTTTCTCTTTTTTTAGAACTATATTGACAAATCTACTCAAATTAGCTTTCCTATCTTCCATGACTCACCAGCTGGAAACAATTTATATGCCAATGAAAACACAAACACACTTTAAAAACCAAGTGAATTATGGTGTTTTCAGTTCCACATGCATCCAGAAACCATAGATTTTTCTTCCGTATTTTGCACAAGGACCCCTCAGATCTCCATTTGGCACTCCATGTGGTTTTCAGGAAGTACACATCACACTTTGTACACACATCAGAGGGCTTGGTTTCAGTGTATCAGCATGATAAATTATGTCACACTGGTAATCTGAGGTTACCAAAACACCACCACCTCTGCCACTCTAGAACCCCAGCCTCTACTAGATGAAGGTAACTTAACCAGCCACTTGAGCAGACTAAGAGCAGTGACTCGAAAACTGGACTGTACATCACCCTCCCTATCCCCCACTATCTCTGAATTGATGTGTCTGGGGTGGGGCCCAAGAATTTTCATTTTTACTAAATTCCCCCAGATGGTGCTCAGTCTGCTAGTCTGGGAATCACACTTTAAACCTAAAATAAATACCGAAGTCTTTATGGTCAGAATAACCTAACTGGCCCAGCCAGGGTGGCTCAGTGGTTGAGCCTCGACCTGTGAACCAGTAGGGGGCCTGCAGGAGGCAGCTGATCAATGACTCTTATCACTGATGTTTCTCTCTCTCCCTCCCTCTCTGAAATCAATAAAAACATTTTTTAAAAAAAGAATAATCTAACTGATAAATGTGCCAATATCCTGTGGACATTATTAAAACATCAGCTAGAAGTTGATCATGAGGTTCCTTTATTGTGACAAAGGGTTTTATCAGAAAATTGTGTAAAACGGAGTACAACTTCCCTCATAAACCTGTCACTAAAACCTGCAGCTACTACACGACTGGGAAGACTCAGGAAATGAGTTTCACTCCGTAAAGGCAAAGCCATGCAAACGGCGCTGGAGTCACCTAAGTGGAAACATTAAAATCTACCAGGCAGAGAAACACAAACATCACATGACCTCTCTTATATGTGGACTCTAAAGAGCTTAATAAACTGATGAACAGAATAGATTCAATGACATGGAAGCATAGAGGAGACTGAGGAATGTCAGAGGGATGGAGGAGGGCGGGTGGGGGGAGGGGGAGAGAGTAACCAAAGAATTTATATGCATGTATGCACAACCCAAGGACACGGACATGGTGGGGAGAGGGACCGGGGAGGGGGGTAGAACGGGTCATTGGGGAGAAAAAGGGACATCTGTAATATTTCAAACGAAAACAAAAATAATTAAAGAAAAAAATCTAAGGGCAGCCTGTGTGTACTCCGCGGCTGCTCCAGCGTCCCCGTCCCCGGAGCAGCTGGAGGGGCCGCTAGGTGGCGCGGTTGCTTAGCACCTGCGCCCGGGAAGCGCGAGCCTCACCCCGCGCAGGTGGACTGTCGCCGGCTTCGCAGTTCGGGGTAAAGCGTCAGTTCCTCACCCGCCTCGGGCGCGTGGGCCGCAAGCACAGGCGCGGGGCTCAGGAGGCCGGACCAAGCGCTGCAGCCCCGGCTCCCACCCCAGGAAAAGGGAGGGAAGGTGGGGGCGGGAAGCCGCTCCCACTGAACTCCCGCTGGGTCTAGAGGGTGCGGGGACGGTGCAGCCCCGGGAAGTACCGTGGCGGCGTCTGCGCTGCGCTCGGACCCTCTGTGTCGCGAAGGCGGGCGACCGCGCGCGCCAGGCCTGCGGGGCCAGTCCAGAACTGCGGGGCCCCAGAGGGAGGAACACGGGGGTGCGGGGTACAGATCTACTCGCCCGGGGGCATTCATTCATCTCCCCACTTCCGTCCCGAGCCACGGCAAGCTCCCCTCTCCCGACGGCACGCCAGAGAAAGTGTCCCGCACTGGCCGAGGCTGGCGCGCCACCCGGGTGTGGCGCTCGGGGGCCGAGCCC